ATGTCTAATTTTCTCCGTAACTCGATTAATGAAGGCAGCAAATTTTATGGAGATGAAATGAAACTGTCCTGTAGCTTCAAATATCTGTGACGTCACTGCGCGTCACTCAGTCTGTGGAAATTTTGTTAAAGAAAAAGCGAATTTTAATAGTTTTATTTTGAGGACTTTAAATAACACGATGCGTGTTTTACATGAAGATTTTATATAGTTAAATAAATGGCTGTGGTCACGTGGACCTGCAGCGTCCCATTCACAGCAGCAGAGGGCAGACTGACCCTTACCTTATGTGTCCTTTTGTTGGGGTCAAGTTTGTTGAGACCGTGAGAGGGGGAGGTCTTAACAGGAAGTCGGTAACAGATATTTTATCGCGGATTCTTTTGTCCGATGATGGGCTCAGGCTGCGCGGTTAAAACGTACAGAAGTCGATTTCTGCAGTGAGAAAGTGAAGTCACAGTTTCTCCCTCGGGTTGTTTTTTGGGGGTTACTGCGGGCGGTTTGTGCGGTAACCCCAGAAACAGCGCAACAAGTACTTTTACTTTTCATGCGCTCATTTCGCTGCTCGGACGCTTGAAGTTGTGACTTTCAGCAGGATTTCTCTTTGAGTCCTCAGCTGCCGATCAGCCATCGTGACCGTCAGAAAGGGGCAAGGACTTGTGCTGCATCGGCTCTGTGTGAGGAAACAAACACTCGGATGAGGGAAGCTGTCCGATCGACGAAGAATGGAGTAGAAACACTTTGTTTTCTCGGGCTTTTAAATGCGCCTTAAGTTTCTCAGCTTAATAATGGGCCGATAGATCACTTTCCGCAGGAGTTAAATGTAAAAGCAGCTGCTTGTCGGAGGAAGCGGCTTGGTTTGATATTTGCCATTCAACAAGTCTTTGCGTCCGAGGGAAGGATGCCATCCCAACAAACCTGGGCTCAGATCATCATCGCGTCCGCCTCCTTACTCTCGCTGGTCTTGTGCAGCGCGGTGCCCGATGACCCAGAGGAAGAACAGTTCAGCGCCGAGGTACGCTGCAGAGACTGCCGTGTTGTTGTTTAAATCATTACTGCGCATTGAAATGAATCCTCCTGCTTTCAACAGTCTAACTGCACAATTACAGGTTCAAATCATCAGGCGGGAGGTCGTTTGACCTTTGTCCTCTTTCCAGATAACAACTCTGCAGGTGTGACGACATCTGTTTACAAGGAAACAACCCGAGTGTTTCCTTTGAGTGGTGACAATGTGTCTGAAGTGGCATCTTTAGACTGCAGAGTGAAAATCAGTCATTGTAAAAGTTTGAAACTCACCTGGAAATCTGATGTGTGTTACCTGTGATTGTTTATTAGTGATTTATAATCATAGATCATTAACTGTAAACACGAAGTGACGTGCATGGAAAGCTTTATCCACCGAACACAACACGGAGGCTAATTAAACGTGTTTTTAAGCTCTGCTTTTAAATGTTTAATAGGGACATTAATCAGACTTTATTTTGTCACTTAAACCAAACTGCTGTAGGAAAGTGTTCGGCCCGTCCGGC